TGGAAGCACCGCAATAAGAAAGAATTAAACTGTAAAGCTCGGCTCACCAGGGCTCCTTTTATGCTGGTCAAGTGGGCGGAGCTCGCTGGTATTGGCAGGAGATATAAACATGATAAGGAAATGTTGTGAGAGAAGCCTATACAATCGTTCAGATCAGCCTACTGATAACGATATTGGAGCTTACAAGGCTATTCGTACAACAGAATAAGTAAAAGATAGTGTCATAATGGTTACAATAATGATACAATAATGATAATGTTACAATCGCTAAATAGAGCGAGAGTCTCTATAACCAATATCTGGTCCCTGTCACTTACTACCCCTTTCAACCGTGAGAAGGCTGCACCATACCATTAAGGACCGCAGATGCGACATCAGAATGGGTAAAGTTGAATCAGTGCGGATGATGTGACACGGAAGCAGAGGCATAACTGCCGAGTTATGGGAAACACTGAAAAGGAAAACTTCACATTGCTTGCACATGCCAAAGTGTGTGCCGCACAGACAGCTCGAATGTTACCACCGACAGGACATCCCCACTCCCAGTCGTTGGCTTCCCTTGCTTCGGTTGCGACCGCCACTTCCCAACACATCACATGGCGGGCAGATTTGCAAAAAAAATTTTCACTGGTGAATTCCTCTGAATTTCTCGATTTTCCCGTTTCAGCCGCACTATATACCGCACCCCTCCAACCCCCCTCCTACCCCGCTCAACATCATTTCATCGTTTCACGTATCTAATAGCAAAGACGAGCTTGACTGACATCAAGGAAAGGGTTCACGGTACGCCCCTTATCGAATCTTATCAGCAGCTTATAGTTTTTGTGACCCACCAATAATATTCTTGGCCCATACCCTATACATATCTTGAAGTCAAGAGCCAGCTGATGTGCACTGCGTTATGAATATGGTGACCATCTCCTTCTAACGCCTCTTATCGAATCTTATCAGCTGATATCACTTCCTGTCACCCACCAATAGTGTTCCCGTCACACCCCTACATCACTTCTTGGAACCAATGTCTCACTGCTACTGGGACCGGCGCTATGAATTTCGTGACAGACAGACAGACGCACACACAAACAGACACGACACACACACACACAGACATACTTGCCAGATTATATATGGTAGGATAGGAGAGTCCGCATGGTAACATGCAGCTGCCGGTGGATACCCCACACAAACATAGACATGTGCGAAAAAAACCATGGAAAACCAATTAGAGAAACCTTCGTGAGACTGGATAGGTCCCCTTCTCACTCCCCTTGACAACGCGTTCTCCCTGAATTTCACAACGATAATATGCCCTCCCCGGATACTGCACATACTATATATCCGATATCCGTCCTACACTAAATGATTTCATGGGCACTTTCTGAGTGGTTACTGGAGCGAAATAGGCGTACCATCTCGCTCTCGAACTTGTTTGCGATAGAGCAATCCAGTCCAGCAGGGTGAAAAGCTGGATTTTGCTCGTTCTTTTGAGAGATGCTATCCGCGCAAATTCATACGGAAGTATGTTACTGTGTAAATGCGTGTTCTTCCTATACAGGGACTTACTAATGCCACAGTGCTTGTTCTCCTAATCGACCCCTGACGAGGGTCTTGTCAAGCTCAGGAGGACCTCATTGGCATTGGCTGCAATATGCATCCGATTTGAAAAACCGCCGCTAGATAGCAATGGCATAGCAATGGCAGCTGCCACTTTTGCACATGTGTTTATTGAAAACAAAATGCTTCTTAGTTTCTTGTCAAGTGCACCCTTTGTCCCTGTTCCGCCACTCGAAGTCGCTGATGAGCCTCGAGCATGGACGAATTGTGAAGAAGTCCATACTCGAGCCTCATCAGCGACAGGACGGCAAGAGGCCTAAGGAGGGTGGTGCCAAAGAAAATTCCGGCAAGGTGGTCGTATTTCACAGAAATCTTCTCCAACGGCGGGACCTGCCGTAGTTTGTCATTAGCGCCCCTATTCTTATCTGGTAAGGTCCCCAGAATCCTAGCGAATCTCCGCCTCCGCTGAACATTCTCTAGAGTAAGTTGGACGGTTTCTCCTGCTTTTTTCTTTATGGGTGTGCTGACAAGCACACTCGCTACCGTTTCTCAACCCCACAACTTACTGAAGCTTTTCCTTCTTTTTAGCCAAGCTGAAGCAAAGCGAGATTTGCCACGGGTTGCAGACTCATACAGTTGCCACCACAGGATGATGCAAAGTCGAAGCGACTGCTCATCGTGAGGAATACTATCGTTTATTTTCAAGTATTTCACAGCTGCAGTTTTCAGCAGAAGGAAATCAACAGCCCTACTTTTCCCGTTTTTCTTTGCTGATTGCAACTGCCGAGACGATGATTCGAAGGTTGATGTAAAGGATCATTCAACCGTATTAATTCCCCTATTTGTCTAGCATAACATGTTGATGTAGGCTCATAATAACAATTTAATAGGGTAATAAGTAACGTCTTTGGTCTCGCAATTGCAAGTCGAGGTGTCGCTTGCAAATTACGGGCTTGCTCATTGGAAGAACAGCGACGTAGATCCTATAGCTTGAGGAATTCTTAAGCGCTCCGTATGGCCCCAGCTGAGCTCATTCTCTACGCTTCAATTTGTGAAAAGTCCAAGTTCAGTCCTCGGACTGAAAGGCATCATCAAGACCCTACTACCTTCATAAAATGATTGTGTCCTGTTGAAAGCTGTTTTTTTCACGATTTTAATCAGTTTTCCACTAGCTTCTTTCCATTGCTATCTCCTCTTTTTCTTTGAAGGGTTCACACCTTCCCTTTTCTCCAATTGATGCTTGAACACATGTAAGATGGATTGAAATGGAAAATATTCATTATTGAGTTCAAAGAGCGGAACCTCTCAACATAGACAAATCTATTGTGAGTAGTCTAACGATCCCTTCCTAGGTGATCGAATACCAAATGCTGCCCATGAAACACATAATTAACGTTCTGGTTCACTAAGATTGATAGGGCGTGTCAAGGGGACATATGTAATTAAGGCCTTGTTTATCGAGGATGATGAGGCTTGTCAAAGGGGTCGGTTAGGCGCTTCGTCAGCCCGTTTTTCTTATTTTTTTCCTTCAAGCGACATAACAGTATCATGTCGCTCGCATCAGTAGTTTTCCATCAGTTGTTGTCGCTTACCCTCAATGGGCTGGCGGCGCACTAAACCCATTTTCTCTAGCATGCCATTCATCAGTAGCGAACAAGACTGTATCTTACAGCCAAAACAACTAAACTCGGTCAGGTCGTGTGAGCAGGGAGCGCCTAAAGCTTTCTGCTGTTGCAATGGAGCACATTCTTTCGCAGTGTGTTGCAGAACGAGCCAGATGCAACGGCTCTTGAAGCTGGAGAAGCAGGGTTGGAAAATTCTAGGCTCTGTATTGATGAACTGTAATTGAACTTTTCTGAACAACTTTCCAAGGATCTCTCCGTTGTTTTGTTGATTTTTGGTGTCGCACGAGTTCCCATGCTTTGAACTTCCATAACCTTCATACCGTTGTGAAAACAAAAGCAGCGGGGGAATGCGTAACACTTTTGCTTTTCGAAGAGCACCTCATTTTTTTCCTAGGCCGGCACCTTGAAAAATACCCCGTTGTGCTTCTGTTATGGACAGTTTCGGGGGCCTGGAAAACACACAACTCCGCAGTAGTACCATTGCCAGCTTGAAGCTTTAGCAACCTTCTATAACACATCTTCGTCGTTCAAATTATCAGAGAATAGTCCATTCGGCGCCGATAGACATATCTTTATTGTGCCATGTATTCGAATTCCTAGCGAAGTTGTTGGGAAGGTGTTACTTCCAAGAAAGGCTTCTTCGAGCAAGCAGGTGGGCTTCTACGGTTCACAAAGATCCGAGAGTATACCGTGTTTCGTTTGTTTATTAACTCGTGACGTCCTCGTGGTCGGCTACCGTACTCTTTCTCTTTCCACCGCCCGTTCTCTTTTTCTGAGCTTGCAACTTGCCTCTGTCTCCATGTTTCTCCTTCAGAACAAGAACCATTTATAAGTGTTCTGCACACTGATTACGACAGTATGTGAACAACCTTTTCAAAACAAATACGATGAGTAGGTCCGCAGCCGTCTACATTGTATGTTTTGGCTAAACGAAAACGCGAGCTGTTAAGGTTATGGGCTTGGCTTTTAACTCTGACTACGTCTTGTCTAGTCTGGGCATGTAGCCATATCCACGTTCACTCTTCGCACAACTATACAATCGCCCTAGTCCTAACCTAGCCGTTCTGGTCCCTGTTTTGGTTCAGTTTCAACAGCTTTTTTGATGATAGACCCTTTCCAAAACAACAACTGAGCCTTCACCAATAGCAGCGTCCCATTCTTGGCACAACCTCTTGGTTGTGTAATCCCAAGAAAAATCATGAGCGTGCCATTATGTACTACTTCAAACCCTACTACTAGGCTTCCTCTTCAATAAGCGATCCTCCTGGTGCGACTGTCATATCGCTCGATGTACTTTTTCACTACCTCCGAGATATTTCACGTAAGTAAACGGTCCACAGAAAGAGTATGGCCAGCGAAACCGTTTTCTACTATATCGCCTTCCTGCTCAATACTACAGTCATCATCATCGACGTGCTGGTTATCTATTGTGCTTTCAAAACCGGTGAAACTCGACGACATTTCGTTCTACAGACGATTTTTCTCGCAATGGTAATGGACATTGCCGCTTTTCTTACTGTGCTGGGTCACGATTTACCAAGTTTTATCATGGATTCAGATGTATCGCCAGGTGGGTATTTTTCTAGTGAATAATTCATCAGTTTCTTGGTACATCCGTAAAAAGGGAAGATTTGCCGGATTTTTCACATAGATGAAGGCACCTCCATCCTTTGCTTGGTCCATAGGGGCAAAAGTGGCGAGTGGCATGCTTACAATACGCGCGCTTTGTAGACAGCAGGCTTCCGCAGAGGGTAGTCAAGCCTTCAGGAACGTGTAAGTTCGACCCCAGCTTGAACACGGGAGGAAAGCACCGGGTTGTTTTACTTGTGTAGGGGGATCGCACTCATTTAGAAACTACAACACTGATTATTGTGGGCAGCATCCCGAGAGAATTGATGAGCGGTGAAACTTTTAGTCTTTCATATTGCCTGGATAGGTAGCAGACTGTCTAAAAATCGCTATTATAATCTTTTACAAATGAAAGTTAATGTTATCACGAATGCAATGAGCCTCCTTCAAGACAGAAAATTTCAGACCACCTCGTGAACTACTTCTTAGTGATGATCATTTATCTCCAATGGTTCACTCAACTCTTTGTGCTGCTAGTCCTTTCGGTCATTCATTCCCTCGCCGTCTTCACTCCCACTCAATTCCGCACCTTCTCTTCTGGGAACATGAAAATGACCAATGCAGTCATTATGATCGTCGCTCTGCTATTAACAGGTTAGGAACTATTTTTACAATATTTTCATGTCATTCTTTCTAAATGGGTTGATCCTCAACCACGGACTCTCCTGGTATCTTGAGTCAACCAATCGTTTGTTAACAAGTGATTAACTTTTATCTTCAGTGCCAGTTCTTACACCCTACTGCGGCTACTACTACTCTACTGAAGGTCACTTTTGGGGCTGGGACTTGAAAAAACCGTACACATACATATATGTAAAATGTAATCTGGTTTTACAGGTGAGTGGAAGTCTCAAATAATTGAACTGTGAAGGACCCAATGCACGCAGATTGTGAGGGCAGAATCAGGCCTACCGTTGCTGTTTCCATTAGTACATCCTTCCCATCTAGCACGACAGGTGAAAGGGAGCGTCATTAAAAGGTCAGCATGGCAGGTTGAATCCGCCTTCATGATCAGCGTGGAATGCGCTTCAGAATGTGGTTGCAAAAAAATAAGTTTTTTCATCGCCCGATTAATCGAACTGTAGGGCTACTCCTTTTCAATGCTAATTTTGATCTCGAAGCGATTGCATCGGCAACTTGAAAAATCCAAAGCACCTGCCTTGCTGAGGATACATCTCCTACGAGCAGAATTTTGTCTCCTCTGACGATTATTTGAATCCTCTAGGAAACAAGAATTTATCTTGTCATCAGCCTCTCCCTTTCTCCATCTAAATACGGTTGCATACTGGGCGATGAATTATTTTGCTTTTTCTATGCTTAGCCTACATCTCAACCTGCACGCTCACAATGACCCCCGTTTAATTTCAGTCAACCTAACACCTTTTCAATATGTGATCCTTTTATCCATGCAAAATATTAGGTTGGCGGGAAAGTTCTGTCATACTTTTTTGAACCCAAGTATTCGCCTATTACCTGAAGAGGGCTAACCGGTAATGTGAGCATTTATACATTAAGGATTGATCTTTCTATTAGTGTCACTGGCTCGGCTCCTGCTCATCCTTATTCTGCATTATGGACAAGAATGTTATCCGCTACCTTCAGCACCGACCCCTTCAAGCGCTTCCTTGAACTATTTCTTCTACCACCCTGGCGCCAGCATGGCAGCTGTCGACGCCGAAATAATGGAGCTGCACAAGGACAATGTCAGTCATCAGACAATCTTCCACGACGCTAGCTCTTCAGAGCGGGAGCCTACGGTTCGAATGACGAAGTGAGGTTCGGGAGTACCTGTAAACTCAGCTCTAGATAGCGGTGGGTCGGGAAACTACTGGATGAAGAAGCTGCCTCCTCGGTCAATCCGTACGCAAGGCAGCTACGAGATCTGAAGCGAATCGTCAAGCAGAGGGCAAAATCCATCGGCACAGTCCGTCTTCAACGTGCTGGTGCAGCACACCCCGTCAAAAAAGTTCGAGCCGTACTTCATGCAATAGAGCTGGATGGCTCTCCCCTTGCACCGGTGTAGTCCAGACATTGCTCTTTCTGACTGCTAGTCGCCTCCCGTATTCAACCGTTATACAGCCGAGAAAACCTCCACGACTTGAGCCCAAGTCAAAGTTGAGATGATGTCCAACTTTGCGTCGCGCCGGCGTGCATTGTTAAGCGATGGCATCCACGAACTGTCCAAAAACTGGCAAGGATCTCTCAATAACATTGCTGTATAATTTTGATCTTGTACGCCTCTCTGTAAAAAGAAAGTCTAATTTGAAAAAATGTGACAGAACTTTCCCGCCAACCTAATACATGGCTGAAAGTAGATACTAACAGAAATTTCCCATTTAGCGCTTTGCTATCGCTTTTCCTTGTTATACCTTATGACCAAGTATCGTCTACTCGTGTGTATGCACACTCGACATCACATCCAGCTCTCATCTGGGAACGCTTCCTCTTTTTCCTAGCGTTAACCCCACCCAGTTGCAGGATCAACGTAGAATGCGCTTCAGAATGTGGTTCCAAAAGCAGTAATGCTTATGTTATGTGATTCGACCTCCTGAGTATATGCCACCATATTGACTGCTCTCGTGTATTCATTTGCTGGGACCGACCTGTGTCTTCGTTTCGTTTTTCAATCCACTGTAGTCCGACCGAACTTATTTCAAGATCCTCGCTCCAGCGAAATGAACTTGTCTTCAAAGGTTCTTGGTTTGGGTCAGTATTGTTCACCGCAGAGAATCCACCTCCTGGTACACTTTGCTCCTGGACGTTTTAAAGTACCGCCGATCACAATGGGTGCTGGTCTCCGTGTCCAGCATGTAAGAGCTATTAAGGGTGATCCTAATTGCCAGATGGACAGCTTTAGCAACAATCTAGTCATCGCCCAGGGCACATCACTGGTTCGGGATTTAGTCGAGTCCTACGACCCCTCCCCTTTTTTTGGGGGGTTGGTACGATTCCCCTCCCCCCCCCCCTCCGGCCCTTTGTCCCTCCTCATCGAATCGAGCGGTCGACCACGGAGGGCGGAATGGAGTAACTAGCACATGTGAAAAGCCGCGCGAGACAACGAGCCCCCTTCCACCAATTCTCAGATTTTTCCCAACCTCCTGCCACTTTTTCCAAAATTTCCCAGAAACTTCCCTACTTTTTCCTAAAAATCGAGCGGGAGGGTGGTTTATGTAGTGCGCATGAAACAGGAAAATTACGAAAACTCAACTCCACTCCCACCACTCCTAGAAAGGCTAGAAAGTAAATACGATCCCCCCCTCTCCCAACAGTGAGCAAGTACGACCCCTCCCCCTTTTACAATGTTCCGTGAAGCAAGAAAAGAAAAATCAACTATCAAAATAAATTTCTCTCAGCTCTCCTGGCGGCCAAATACACTCCCTCCCTCCCCCTGTCGGGGATTCCCCAAGAACGATGTGCCTTGTTATCGCCAGTGCGGTAACTTCGATTGTGGTATCCAAACTTGAACTGAAATCTGAAGGCGCCTTCTTTCATTTTGAGACTATGCTAAGAATGAAAAGATGGTTTTCATTACACCGATGATCTTCGTTTTACGGATTCATTTATAGGGATTGTGCGCTATTACCGTGATTTGTGTTGATGCTTTGATTATATGGAGTCTTCGCAAGATTCGCATCCGACTGACACGGCCTGCTACGAAGGTTCTTACAATAGCGCGATTGCCACTACCAGTAAGTGCTCAATACTTAACATTTGATACCTCGTTCTCCATGTTTGTGACTCATTCACTTATTGCGCGTTTGAAAAGCTCAGCGCACTTGACCGTGTGCGCAGAGGCAGTCAGCGAATGTGCTTCATTCAGTGTGTCTCTCTTTTCTATGACTCCGGAAATGAGAGGCGCACAATGATGTAAGCAGAACGGTAAGCGTTACTCCTTCCATACAATCAACGCGGACTGTTCCATTTCAATATGAAGGTTCATGCTTTAGGCGCCCACCCAAGAAACACGTCTCAGCTTCGAAATGCAGCTTGCTGTCAATTTCATACTGCTCAGTGCCTGTTTCTTGATTATGACAACATTTTTACAACCTGAAGATGTAAGTTCATGAAAAATGCTCGACTGAAAGGTAGAATGAAACGAAAAAGAAAGGTGCCACACGTCCCACTGAGAACCAACTTTTATCAACTTGGAGGCATAGTCGACCAGTGTGTGGAAGGGATCAGGCGTACTATTGTGTTTTTCCTGCTGCCGAGTCATTTCTATTTAGCGTAATAGAAGCAGAGACAGACCCATGATTTGTCCCTGTGAAAACATGGTCAACGAATGCAAATTTTAGGTGATGCGGACCAGAAACAGATTAATAACTGGATTCCAAGAAAAATAGACGAGCCTATTGAAAGAGCCCAAGGAGCGTGGCTGACTTTCATCTTTGAGCAAACATGCGAAAAAGCAAGGGTCGGAGGGATGCTAAGCACGAAGATTGGAAACTAGACGTAAAGTGACTGAGTCAAAAGCGATAGAGAATAAAACTAAGCGCCATTCCTATCTACCATTGCATGCTATGTAATAGGAGCGTGCCTCAAGAAAAGCCATCGTACTTAAGTTTTGGACGTATGGCGCTCTTGCACAAGATGTGTCTCTAAGTCCTTTATGACCTCATGTGATCTAATCACTCTACTTTCAGAGATGCATTCGTATACGGCTTCCTTATAAAACTTTCCTACATTCTGAATCTTGCAAAATGGTCAATCTACATCCTAGGAAATGAACCTATACGAAGAAATCTCCTAGCAATACTCACATGTGGTCGAAGTGATGTCTCTGCTGCCAACATTTCTCCAAGCGTATCATATATGACCAGCAGGAGAGTATTTCAAGGAAGGCAGTAGTGAACGAGCTCGATGGTGCGAGCCAAAAATTATGAGGAATTATTTCTATGGGGCGAGAGACGCTTTCCTGTACGCATTCACGCCGCAAAAGGTGCATCTTTGTGCACAACTTCGTGCGTTCGGATCGTTTGCCTGTCATGTCGTTTGGAGAATAAAGTCATTTGAAGGCAAAATCTTCCTTTGGAATGCACTTTTGTTGTGTATGCTTTTCAAATCAAAGAAAGAAGAAGACAACAGCCAGAAGTGATCTCTATGGAATGGTTCGCAATGGCTCCATCAGTTCAGAATCATTACATCACGACATTATCAGGGACAAGTGTTATGCAAAATAGCTTTGAAGTGCACAGGGACCACTTTCGAAAAAATGCAAAAGAGCACACGCATCAAGGATCCAAACCCTCGACCACGCATCCGTGAGCCCTACGACGTATCCACTCGGCCATGCTGCCACGCCTTACGCCGCCAATTTGTAGTGTATTCTCCCCCAAAAAGCTCCGTAACTTCTTTCTGGGAGGTCCGCAGCAGATATGGAAGACGGTTTCGTAATTCCCGTCCGAAGACCTTCCAGCCGGTATACATTTCATTTCAAATGGCCACTTCGACCTACCATCCTTCCCTTGTGAGGAAGGCGGTTGGCGGGATAGGGGATGAGTATTGTACCAGAGAAAATCGGGGGGGGGGGAGGTGAGATTTGGATTCTACGAAAAAGTTTCCCAACGGCACGAGTTGCTACGGTCTGTCGCTGGAAAACCTGCTCCTCTCTGGTCGTTCCCCGAAATCGAATGCCCGTCTTTGATTGAACAACAAGAGCGTTCGAGGTCCTTCAGAGCATTTTTGACGGTTTCATCCGCTCTTTTTAATGTGGGAATCCGCTAGCACTCTCACGTTTCTCAACCGGCAAGCTGCAACTTCTTGTTTTCTTTTCCACCGCAACGGAACAGCCAGATTTGCTGCGACTGTGAGACTATACAGCTGCCACCACGCGGTTATAGTAAGCCGAAACAACTGCA